GATAGAGAGGTAGATTTAGTCTCCTAGAATTATAGAGTTTTTCTGTTTACTCTGCCATTCTCTATAAAGTCTCTAAAGACTTCTACAAGGTCTAGTAAACTAGTTTGCCTAGTAGAGTTGTTTTTAGCTAGGTTAGCTGCTTGGATTACTAGGTTTCTAGCAATCTCTAAGGCCTCCTCAATAGAGGTTGCCTTTGGAGTTTTCCCTACTGTAGGGTATCTTGGCACTGCTCCAATAAATGGAGAAAAATTACTCCTTGTCCTAGTATAGGTAGGCCTAGGCGGTTCTTCTGGTTGCCTGTTAGGGCAAGGCGTAGAGGCCTCCTCAGCCATCTCAATTTCTAGATTATTATCCATTAGTTGTTTGCTTGTGCCTCTAAGGTCCTTTAAGGCTAGTCTTTTTTTGTTATTTTTATTGTTTTAATATATCTGTGTTTCTTGCTAAATTTAAGCTTCAATAAGCTCCTGCGTTCCTATTGGCCCCTCTAGTCTGGGCATTAGAGCCCAAGCTCTGTGAGAAAATTCTCACAGGCGTGAGATAACGAAGGAAGGCCTCCTTCTTCTCCCTACTGCGCGCTAGCGCCTTAGCTGCAGGTGTTGAAAGTGCTGTTAGTCGATTCCTCGTGGTCGGTTCTCCTAGATAGCGTGCTTTTCTAGCGGTTTCCAGAAAACTCGAAGTTGGTGTTTTTGCTAAGTTACTAGTCTAAGTGTGCAACTAAGGCGTAGTGGTTGACTAAGGAAAGGAGCATAAAAGTAAGGCACAGACGCTAGGTTAGGAGCGGAGAACCTAGCGTCTGCATGGAAGCTGTAGGGAAGACAAGATAGCTAGACGTAAGGGATAGGACAGATAGGGGGGGTGAACAAATTGCAACTAGGAAGGAACTAGGGGGTACTTTAGAGAGGGGTATTTGGTGTGTGGTAGAGGTGAGCTTAATAGGGCCAAGCTCTTAGGTTTAGGAGGTTTGTGCCGAGGCATAGGGTCACTATAACCCTTATGCTAACTAAGCACTGCTTACCTTTAAAAAGGAACATAAATTAATAGTTAAGATAGTAGAAAAAAAGCAAGCAACAATATCTCTTAGAAAAATCTCTTGCTCGAAGAACCAACTACATATATTTTACTCCCTCTCCCCTCTCCCATAGCCTATGGGAAGGGGAAGAACCTTTAGTTCTGTTCCTCTACTGAGAAGACATCGCAGTTCCACACAACACCTCTACAATAGCTCTCTATTAAATACAATCCTTGTATACTTAAGCGTTTGCTCCACAGAGCGCAGCCTCTTACAGTTACAGAAGTAAAAAAAAGTAAGGCTTCAAAACTAGCTATACTACTTAATTTTTAGTGTTCTATATAGCCTAAAAACTAGCCTAAAATAGGCTCTTAGCTAGTTACTAAAAAAGCTATAGCTAGCGTAGTACAATAATTGCGTTAGCTAACTATAATAGGGCTCCTGATTATTATTGCGCCTTTCGCTACTTAAGTTTAGCAGTAAATTTAGGTAGAGAGGCAAGTAGTATAGAGGATAGGGATATTGCGCGATAGCTAGGCGGTTGAGGTGGCTAAAACGGGCACCTAGAGGCCTATTTTGAAGCCCTATCGCGAAGCCTCTGTAGGCGGAGCTGTACGTGAGCGGTAGTTGTAGCTTGCCTAAAATAAAACACTAAGCTTCTATACTAGATAAGTATTATCTAGTTGCTAAGTTAGTTACAAAATTAAGTGCTAAGTTATTATATTACAGTGCTAACTCTATATAGTTTAGATGTGCCCGCACTAATGCAGACCCTGGCTAAGTGGTAGGCCAAATACCGGCTTAGTGGTAGGACGAATAACTTTTGCCACCGCGGGCGTGCCACCCCCGTCCAGCGCTGCCCGCTGCCATTTCCCGCTGAGTCTTGCGCGCCGCCCGCCAGCCAATCGCACGCCTCTCGCCCATCTGCTTGCCACCCCCCTCACTCGCCCTCACACACTCACTCACACACTCACTCACACACTCACGCCTCTCCCTCCTGTCCTCGCCGTGTGCCCGGCTTCTTTTCTGCCTGCCTGCCTGCCCGCACGCACGCCCGTCTTTGCTTCTGCTCCTTTCTCCCGGGCCTGCCACGCCGCCACATCGTCGTCCCTGCAGTAGTGTCGGACATTAAGCTACTTAGTAAGAGGGCCTCCATCCACACCCCGGCCCTGTATCGCCTGCACGCGCGCATAGCCATACGCGTTGGAGCAGGTGCTAACTGTGCGACACAAGCTGCCCGCCGCCTCCTCCAATTTCTTTTGCTCCCTCGCTCCCGGCCTGCCCCCAATCTCTCGACCGTGTCTGGGTTAGGGAAGCCTAGTTGCCCTTCCGACCGCGCTGCATCTCTTCTCTCCGCTGCTAAGATTGCTCACGCGCCCCAAGAGTGC